TTTTTTGAGATGGAGCCTCCCTCTGTTGCCCAGGCTGGAGTGCCGCGGCTCAATCTCAGCTCACTGCAACTTCTGTCTCCCGGGTTCAAGTGATTCTCCTGCTTCACCCTCCCGAGTAGCTGGGACTATAGGCACCTGTCACCATGCTTGGCTAATTTTTGTATTTTCAGAAGAGACAGGGTTTCACCACATTGGTCTCGCTGGTCTCAAATTCCTGACCTTGTGATCCGCCTGCCTCGGCCTCCCAAAGTGCTGGGATTACAGGCATGAGTCACTGCGCCCGGCCTTTATCAGTTAATTTTTAATCTCTAAAATACATCCGGAACACCTAGTCATGGTCCTCTGGAGTTTATGAGCTTTCATCTTTTTCACTAAAGAGGAATCTTAAAATTGCAAAAGAAAAATTAATCAGCTGGGCGTGATGGCTGCCAGCACTTTGGGAGGCTGAGGTGGGCAGATCACTTGAGGCCCGGAGTTCGAGACCAGCCTGGCCAACATGGTGAAACCCCTTCTCTACCAAAAATACAAAAATTAGCTGAGCATGGTGGTGCATGCCTGTAGTCCCAGCTACTCAGGAGGCTGAGGCAGGAGAATTAATCGAACTCAGGAGGTGAAGGTTGCAGTGAGCCAAGATCAAGCCATTGTACTCCAACCTGGGCAACAGAGCGGGACTGTCTCAAAATATATATATTAATCATACCCAGGTTTGCAGGTGTTTAAAGACCATCACGGATTCTAAAAAAGGCAAACCAGAAAGTTTAAAAACATGAAAATAAAACCCCTAAATTAGTAGCCTTCACTTTTACAGACTGCAAACCAAAGAGAACAACTTTTTGAGAAACGAGCTTAAATTCTTAAGTGATTCCAGCTTGGGCTCTGGGATAAATGATCTGTATGAAAATATACCTGCAAAGTCTAATATTCCATTTACTTAACGAATGTAATAATTTAATAGGATATAGTAATTTTAAGTTTCATCCTGTTTGAGTCAATAAAAACAGTGGTTGGGGGATGGGGAGATAAACTCAGGTTTTACGAACAGGTTAGTCTTGTGGCAATCTGATCATTTTCTCACTGAAATAAGCTTTGAAAGCTTGGCTAGTGCAGATGAAGTTGTGAAAACAGAGCTTAAGTTTTCTTTGAACAAACAAATACATCTAAGGCTTTTCAATGGACGCTTATCAGACTTTTAGGACACTTTGGTGGTGCTGCAGAGGATGGCAAAAACTGAGCCTTGGGGTGAAAAGAAAATGGTATAACACTGGAATTTTCAGGTTATAATGTCCTACGCTTCCCATGCAGAGACAGCACTCATCTTTCACATGGAATAGACTTAGAAATACAGACTCTGCATCATTAGCAGGAAAACGTCAAAAACTTTTTTGTTTTTTTTTTGGCTGGGCACGGTGGCTCACACCTGTAATCCCAGCACTTTGGGAGGCCGAGGGGGGTAGAGCACCTGAGGTCAGGAGTTCGAGACCAGCCTGGCCAACATGACGGAAACCCTGTCTCTACTAAAAATACAAAAATTGGCTGGGTAAGGTAGTGGGTGCCTGTAATCCCAGCTACTTGGGAGGCTGAGGCAGGAGAATCACTGGAACTCAGGAGGCAGAGGTTTCGGTTAGCGGAGATCATGCCACTGCATTCCAGCCTGGGCTACGGAGCGAGACTCCATCTCAAAAAAAAAAAAAGAAAAAAAATTTTTTTAAATCATGAAGTAGCAAATGATATACCAGAAATACAGCAGAAAGAATACTGAACTTGGTGATTCTAGGTGCTAGTCTCTATCTCTGCTTCTAACAGAACCGTGGTGAGGCTCAACACATTTGATAAAGGGAGGACCTGAGGTAGAGATGCAGTTCAGGTACCTGCACGTGGCCACTGGCTTGGGAAGAACCACTCCCGCGGTGTATACTGCCTGGAAGATCCCTTCCAGGTTCACTCTTCTGGTGATCTCTCGGATTAGCACTGGGGCTACCCGTTTTGACCTCAGTTTCTTATGAACACAAAGAAAGTTGATTTCTACCATCTTCTTCACACTAAGAAATAAAGATGTTGAAGATTAAGAGTCAAAACAAGATTAAAAATGAAGAGTCAACACATTTTAAAAAATACGATACCCAGGAAATACCTAAAAATAAGAATGCAGGCTGGGCACAGTGGCCCTCACCTGTAATCTCAGCACTTTGGGAGGCCCAGGCAGGTAGACTGCTTAAGCCCAGGAGTTTGAGACCAGACTGGGCAAAACTGAGACTCTCGTCTCTACAAAAAAAATAGAAACATTAGCCAGGCACGATGGCACATGCCTGTGGCCCCAGCTACTTGGAAGGCTGAGGTGGAAGGATCGCTTGAGCCTGGGAAGTCGAGGCTGCAGTGAACCATGATCACATCATTGCACTGCAGCTTGGGCAACAGCGTGAGGTCCTGTTTCAAAAAGCAAAAAACAAACAAAAATAAGCTGGGCACAGTGGTGCATGCCTGTAGTCTCCACTATTCTGCAGGTTGAGGTGGGAGGATGG